TTCATTCCTTTTTGCTCTGTTCCTTAGTCTAGATAATGTCATTTTATCTATTTTCAAGTTCACCAATTCTTTTTTTTTTTTTTTTTTTTTTGCGCCTGCTTATTTTAGTCTGTTTGGGCTTCTATAGACAAATACAATAGACTGGGTGGCTTGTAAAGAGTGGAAATTTATTTATCACAGTTCTGGAGACTGGATGTCTGAAATAAGGGCCAGCATGGTCAGATGAAGGCTTTCTTCTGGGTCACAGATTTCTCATTGTAATCTCACACGGCAGAAGGAGCTAGGGATCTCTCTGGAGCCATTTTTATAAGGCATTGCTCCACCCTCATGACTTAAGCATCTCCCAGAGGCCCCACTTCCTAATGTCATCACATTGGGCATTATGATTTCAACATATGAATAGGGGGAAGGAGAAGGAGACAAACATTCACACTCTACTGCTGTTCAGTTTGCTGTTTCCTTTCACTAAACCTCTCTAGCAAATTTTTTTATTTCAGTTACTGTATTTTTCAACTACAGAATTTCTATTTAGTGAGATACCATTTTCATAATTTCCTTTAATTCTTTAGATCTGCTTTTCTTTAGGTCTTTGAATATACTTATAATACTCATTTAATGTCCTCATTTAGTAAGTACAACTTCTTGGCTTCCTTAAGGACACTTTCCATTGACTTTTTTTTTTAACCCTGGCCCATGCTTTCTTGTTTCTTTGTGTATTTTGTAACTTTTCTTCAAAACACATATTTTATTTTATTTTTTTAAATTTTATTATGTTAGTCACCATACAATACATAATTGGTTTTTGATGTGGTGATCCACAATCCATTGCAAAACACGTATTTTAAATAAAATGATGCGGCAACTCTAGAAATCCAATTCGTCATTCCCCAGGGTTTGTTGTTGCTGCTCCTGCACTGTTTTGTTTGTTTAGTGACTTTTCTGGACTAATTCAGTAAAGTTTGTATTCTTCATCATGTGCAATCTCTGAAATCTCTGCTTGGTCAACATAGTAATTAGTTAATGACTGGGCACAGATTTTCTTAAATGCCTTAAGCCAGCAAGTTTTCTAGCATTTGCCAAAAGGTTTTTGTGTGTGGTGGGCATACCTTCTCTTAGTAGTCTTAAGTAGGCAGTTTACAACTCTTGCTTGCACAGACCCTCAAGGTAAGCCAAAGGTGAGACCTGAGAGCTGAGGGCCTTCTTACGTTTTTCCTGGGGTTTCGCTCTTGGTGGGGAAAGAAAATAAAACCCAGTAAGTTCATTATAATTTGAGTGACATGTGACATGATTAACAATAAAGTTTATATACTGTCATTATCTCCCATGTTAGCCATATTTTATTATTAGCAGAATGAAAAGTTTGCTTCATGGACTTTCAGGTACAAATAAATACAGAAGTTTAAATAGTTGACAAGTATACATATCTGTATGGCAGGAAAACACCCCAGTAGAAATCTGTTTCTTCTGATATAGAGCAAATCTTAGCCAAATATAATCTAACTTGAGACCTTGGTCTGACTGATCAGCTAATCGGGATTTTTAGCTTATTAGATCATAGAGTTAGTGAGTATAAGTTTGAATTCTGGAGTCAAAATGCCTGAATTTGAATCTAGACTTTACCTTTTCTGAGAATTTGGGCAAGACATGGAACCTTTTCATGCCTCACTTTTCTTATTAGCACCTTCCTTACTGTGAGGATTCAGTCATTACATAACAAGGCCTTAGATCAGCACCTGACAAATATTATGCACTGTATGTATGCAAAGGAAGAGAGAGTGGTTTCATGAATCCCTTTGTACCTGATGCCTATGTTCAACAAGCATCAGCCCCTGGATAATCATATTTCATTTGTAATCTTACCCTCTCTCATTAATTATTTTGAAGCATATACAAGACATATAATTTCACTTACAAATATCTTGTTACATATCAGGGTGCCTGGGTGGCTCAGTTGGTTAAGTGACTGCCTTCGGCTCAGGTCATGATCCCGGAGTCCTGGAATTGAGTCAGAGGGAGTCTGCTTCTCCCTCTGACCCTACCCCTCTTGTGCTCACTCTCTCTCTCTAATAAATAAATAAAATATTTTAATTAAAAAAAATATCTTGTTACATATCTATAACATGTTTTTTAATGTTAAGTATATTACCATGGTTTCAGCTAAAAATCAGCAGAAAGCCTTAATATCATCAAATGTTGGCTTGGTATTTGTTTCCCTAGTTGATTTATGTGTTATGATTGGTTACTGTTGTCTCCTAGGTTACTTTTAGGCTAGAGTTTTCCCCCTCCGTCTTTTTTTCCTCCTTGTAATAATTCATTGAAGAAACCCATGTTATTTGTACTTTCTAGCTGTGTTGCCCAGGAGAGTAGCCACTAGCCACAGGTAGCTGTTGAGCACCTGAAACGTAACTAGTCCAAACCGAGATGCCCTGTAAATTTAAAATGCACGTCATACCTCAAAGACTTCATACAAAAGAGAGTGTCTCATTAATAATTTTTACATTGATTGCATGTTGAGATTATAATATTGCAAATATATTGGGCTAAATAATATTAAAAATAATTTCACTTGTTTCCTTTTATTTTTAATGGGGCTACTAGAAAACCTTAAATTACATACGTGACTTGCAATATACTTCTACTGGACAGTACTAATTTCGAATTTCATACAACATGGATTTTATTGAATGTTAAATAAGGGTTATTTAAGATGTTTCTCTTTTCCCTGTATTTCCAGTATATCGTTCTTTAGATCTAGAGGCTTAATCAGATTCTGATTTGATGCTTTCCGAAATGTTTTTGGCAACAGTATCTCATATATCCCGTGTATACTACCAGAAGGCACATAATGCCTTGTTGAGGCCTCTTTGGTATATTAACAGCCACTGATGACCCTTTAATTCATTAGAGGTTGCAAAATGATGATGTTCTAATTTTTTTTGTTCCTTATCATGTATTAACTGGAATCCTTCCATAAAGAGAAATCTCTCCTCATCAACTGTGTGATCACACTTGATTACTATACAAGCTATATATATTTTCCATAGGAAAAGGACAAACGGTTAATTCTTTCTATTTATTTACCAGTTTCCAGGCATCCTCCAAAAATAATCAATGAATATTTTTAGAGTAGTATTATGAAATCATGAATTTAAATGTGTGTTTTTGAAACCCATTGTATTTATTATCCTCACTGTTGTTCAAATTGTCCCATTATTATTAACTAGTGGGAGCCTCTTCAAGTTGTCTCCTGTGTCCTAGATATGATCTTAGTAATCTTTGATAGCTGTCCTGCCTTTTGGTGTCACAGAATGTTCCAGGCCTTGGTTCCTTTTAGTGAAAAGTAATACTTAAAAGCCACAGTGTAGCTTGCATAATGTTACCTCATTAGTTATTGTTTTTATTTTTAGGGCTTTTCTGTGGATGAAGCTAGGAAATATATTTTATTTTTTCCTTAAAACTAAAATAATTCGTGAGTTTATACTGATACTCCCAATTCAAATTTGGATCTATGGAGTTATTGCATAATCTCATCAATATTACATTTATATCTTCTTTCTGTCATGGCAAGTTTATTTGTTCTCAGGGGCATCAGTAATTTGCCACTAATTTGCTTTATCAAACAACTACACACACAGCAGTTACAAAATAGCATTTTCATCACTACCACCAACAGTTTGATTATTTATTGAAAACACAGCTTTTGTTTTTTGCCATTCTTTTTCTTCTTGGGGTATATTTCACGAAGGATATACAGAAAATTGTTATGCTTTAAAGTCACTTAAAATATTTCATCTTTGATGGATGTCTGTGCTTCAAACTGGTTTCATTTTTCTCTTAATTTTTAGGGATGACTTTTTTACATTTTAATTTTCCTCCTAATACATTTACATGGTTCAAAAGTAAAATCTACAGAACGAGAAATATTCAAAAGAGTCTAGCTTCTTTTTTTTTTTTTAAAGATTTTATTTATTTATTTGAGAGAGAGGATGAGAGGAGACAGAGAGCACATGAGAGGGGGGAGGGTCAGAGGCAGAAGCAGACCCCCCGCCGAGCAGGGAGCCCGATGCGGGACTCGGTCCTGCGACTCCAGGATCATGACCTGAGCCGAAGGCAGTCGCTTAACCAACTGAGCCACCCAGGCGCCCTTTTCTGTATTCTTTTTTTTTTTTTTTTTAAGATTTTATTTATTTATTTGAGACAGAGAGAATGAGAGAGAGAGAGCACATGAGAGGGGGGAGAGTCAGAGGGAGAAGCAGGCTCCCTGCCGAGCAGGGAGCCCGATGCGGGACTCGATCCCGGGACTCCAGGATCATCAAAAGAGTCTAGCTTCTAATTTCAGTCCTCTCCACTCTCTCTATTTCCTCCTTCCTCTAACAGGTAACCACTAAAAAAATGTTATGGCTCATTCTTACATTTTTTTACATAAGCACATATATAATTCATATCCTGACCAAAGAAGTTCTCCAGAGTCCCCAGGATTTCTAACTTTTCTTGCTCAAAGACAGAGCTTACAATATTCTGTATCTACAATCTGAATGATTAAACTGTCTTTTATTAAGTCATATTCTGTAGATTTGGAACTGAGGAAGAGCAGATAGTATAGATAGGCCAGGGTTTTGAGGGAGAAAGGATGATTTGGGTAGAAACTACTAGCTGTTATCAAATGTTAAGACTTTCTAGGTAAGGAGGAAACCATACTGTTTGGCTCCAGATAATATAGTAAGACCAATATTTCAAAGTTAGAGAAAGCCAGATTTGAATTAGTCTGAAAAGAAAATCCTGCTTCAAGTAGAACTCAGGAAATGCAATGGGCTTCCTCTTGTAGTTTTAAGTTCTTATCAGTGGAGAGATTCACTCATCCTTTAAGGGCTGAACTAGTTGACTTCAGGGGTCATTTGGTGATTCTTATTTCTGGAGTATTCCTCCAGTTTTATATGTATTATTCTGCCCAGCAGTTCTCATTGTGTAGTCCCTGGGTGATCACAGTGTATTTATTTTAGGATTCCGTGACATTTAAAGATGTGGCTATAGACTTCACATTAGAAGAGTGGAGGTTGATGGACCCTTCACAGAGGAACCTACACAAGGATGTGATGCTAGAGAATTATAGGAATCTTGTCTCCCTGGGTAAGAATAACTTCTGTGTTCCCATATCTACCCACTTGATCAGGTTTGCTGAAGATATAGAGCCTCTAAAGTACTTAACTGAACTTGGGGTTAGAGTTTAGGCATTAAGATCTCATATTAGGGGGATGTTGTTGGGAGTCATGCTGTCCCTTGCTCTTAATTAAGTGGCCCCCCCCCATTGTAGAGTAAGGAATACATATTTCATTGGGATCTTGGAGATTGTTGACAGTAGCCCAGATTTAGAACTAAAGTTTTTTCTGATCACTTTTATAAATGGGAGTTATCAGTACCTCTAGAAAGAAAGGAAAAAATGTGTTCATTTTCTTTCTAAACTCAGATTATTCCCATGTTCTATTATCCCAGAAAACCTGGGATCATGGTGTTGAGCTCCTTTGTAATCATCTGTAACACCACCGTACGATAGGATGTTCTGCTGTGCTGGGAATGCTCTGTATCTGTGCTGTACAATATGGCAGGCACTAGCCCCTTGAGGCTACTGAGAACTTGAAATCTGGCTAGTCCAACTGAAGAACTGAATTTTAAATTTTACATAGTTTTAACTAATTTAAATAGCCACATGTGGCTGTTGACAGCTCTATTGGGCAGTGCATCTCTAGAACTTCCCCTAATAGCCACTCTGCACTGAAGATTAAGAGCTGAGACTGAATGTGGCAATAGTTCTTACTCATAGACACAGTCAAGTCCTATTCATTTTTTTCTGAACAGGGCTCGCAGTTTCCAAACCAGACATGATATCTCATTTGGAGGATGGAAAAGGACCATGGGTTGTAGTGAGAGAAATTGCAAGAACCCCCTATCCAGGTGAGTTAATAAGAACGAGGAGGACTGGATTTATTTCAAGTTTATAGGTTATGGATGGAGTAGAACATCTGAAATATTTTGGGGAGTATCCTTGCTCAAAACTATCTCAGAAGAAGAGATTCTCTCCCTCCCTTGCTCTCTCTCTCCTTTTCCCTCTCCTATTGCTTCTCCTTCTCTCTCTATTCTCTACTTTTGATTCCCAATCCCATCTTACTTTGCTTTCTTGAGGTCATGATCTTCATACTTAGTCCTTCATTCAAACATGCACGAAGCACTCCTTTCAGTTCTGTCCTCTCCAGTTAACTTTACATTTTTCTCATTTGTTTAACCATTTTCTGACATCTCTTCCTTCATTAATTTTCCTGAAAACGCTTTCCTAAGCGTCACCACTGGTTCCTTTTAAGCCAAACCTATTGACTCATTATTTAACTTTCTTCACTTGCAAGCCTGCTGAAATTTGGGGGGAACCCTCCTCTTCTCCAGGTTCTTCGCTAATTGAAAATACAAACAAGGAATCAATTGAGAATCAAAATACAGTACTTACTTATGTATTTAACTGATGTTTATCGGACATCTGTATTCTGTGTCCTGGGTTAGGCACTAGGTCTACAGCAATGAGTAAGATGGACCAGGTCCCTGCCATCACGAAGATTAAATTTTTGAGAAATTAACAAGTATATAAATAAAAAGAAGCTAAATAATGGTTGTAACAACCTTCAGTTATGAGATCAATTGGGGGATATGAAAGAGTAACTGGGATGGAGATAAAGGTGCCTCCTTCAGAGAGTATGGTCAGGGAAGGCTTCTGAGAGGGGGACATTAAAGCTGAGCCCTGAAGATTCAGAAGCAACCAGCCAAGGGAAGAGGAAAGGAGAAGCATTCCAGGCAAAGGACCAGACACAGAAAAGAATGAAATATGTTCTAGAAATGAAAAGGAGGCTGCTATGACTGAAGCCTCAGTGAGCAGGAGACTGGTATCAGAGTTAGACAACAGTCTGCCTACTCAGAGCTTTGTAGGTGATGGTAACTATCTGGATTTAATCAAAGTGAGTGTGAAGGCATTGACAGATTTTAATCAAGGATTTTTAGGAAATAACTCTGTGTGTGGAAATTGAACTTGAGGGCATTAAACCAGATAATGAGGTTACTACAATAGTCTAGGCAAAGATAATAACTTTCGTTAAACTGATAGTGGAGATGGAATTAAAGAAATAGATTCTAGTTCACTTGAGAATGTTATCATGATGCTATCCGTAACTCAATATGTTTTACATATATTCTTTTCATGTATCAATATTATAGATTTTTAATTCAAGTATAATTAACATAGTTTTATATGAGTTTCAGATGTACAATATAATGATTCAATAATTCTATTCATCACTCAGCGTTCATCAAGATAAGTGTGCTCCTCGAGATGCCCTTCAACAGATGAATGGATAAAGAAGATGTGGTCCATATATAGAATGGAATATTACTCAGCCATCAGAAAGGATGAATACCCAACTTTTACATCAACATGGATGGGACTGGAGGAGATTATGCTAAGTGAAATAAGTCAAGCAGAGAAAGTCAATTATCATATGGTTTCACTTATTTGTGGAACATAAGGAATAGCATGGAGGACATTAGGAGAAGGAAGGGAAAAATGAAGGGGGGGAAATCGGAGGGAGAGATGAGCCATGAGAGACTATGGACTCTGAGAAACAAACAGGGTTTTAGAGGGGAGGTGGATGGGGGGATGAGTTAGCCTGGTAATGGGTATTAAGGAGGGCACGTACTGCATGGAGCACTGGGTGTTATATGAAAACAATGGATCGTGGATCACCACATCAAAAACTAATGATGTATGGTGACTAACATAACATAATAAAATTAAATTAAATTAAAAAAAAAAACCTAAAAAAAAAAAAAAGATGTGTGCTCCTTAATCCCCTTCACCTATTTCACCCATCCCCCCCCCCACCTCCCCTCTGGTGACCACCAGTTTGTTCTCTGTATTTAAGAGTCTGGAGGCGGGGGGTGGTTAATCTCTTTTCTTCGTTGTTCATTTGTTTTGTTTCCTACATTACACTCTGACGGACTTATTTCACTTAGCATAATACCCTCTAGGTCCATCCATGTTGTTGCAAATGGTAAGATTTCATTCTTTATTGTGGCCAAGTAATATTCCATTATATATCCATACCACATGTCCTTTATCCATTCATCTGTCAGTGGACACTTGGGTGGCTTCCATATCTTGGCTATTGTAAATAATGCTGCAATAAACATAGGGGTATATATATCTTTTCAAATCAGTGTTTTTGTTTTATTTGGGTAAATACCCAGTAGTGGAATACTGGATCTTATGATAATTCTGTTTTAATTTTTTGAGGAACCTCCATACTGTTTTCCACAGTGGCTGCACCAATTTACACACCCAACAGTGAATGTGAGGGTTCCTTTTTCTTCACATCCTCACCAACATTTTTGTGTGTGTGTGTTTTTTATTTCAGCCTTTCTGACAGGTGTGAGGTGGTATCTCATTGTGGTCTTAATTTGCATTTTCCTGATGAGTAGTGAGCATCTTACCATGTCTCCATCAGCCATTCTGTATTTCTTCAGAAAAATGTCTTTTCGTGTCTTCTGCCCATTTTCAATTGGATTATTTGTTTTTTCGGTGTTGAGTTGTTTAAGTTTTTTGTATATTTTGGATATTAAGCCCTTATCAGATGTATCACTTGCAGTTATCTTCTCCCATTCAGTAGGTTGTCTTTTTGTTTTGTTGGTGATTTCCTTCACTATGCAAAAAGTTTTTTAGTTTGGTGTATTTTTTTTTTAAGATTTTATTTATTTATTTGAGACAGAATGAGAGAGAGAGAGAGCACATGAGAGGGGGGAGGGTCAGAGGGAGAAGCAGGCTTCCCACTGAGCAGGGAGCCCGATGCGGGACTCGATCCCGGGACTCCAGGATCATGACCTGAGCCGAAGGCAGTCGCTTACCCAGCTGAGCCACCCAGGTGCCCTAGTTTGGTGTATTTAATAGTTTAATTTTACCTTTGATTTCCTTGCCTGAGGAGATGTATCTAGAAAAATGTTTCTATGCCCAATGTCAAAGAAATCACTGTGTATGTTCTCTTCTAGGAATTTTATGGTTTCAGCTTTTACATTTAGGTGTTAAATCCATTTTGAGTTTATTTTTCTGCATGATGTAAGAAAGTGGTCCAGTTTCATTCTTTTGCACGTAGCTGTCCAGTTTTCCCAGCACTGTTTGTTGAAGACACGGTCTTTTCCCCATTGTGTATTCTTGCCTCCTTTGTTATAAATTAATTGACCATATAAACATGGGTTTATTTCTCAATTCTCTATTCTGTTCTATTCCATTGATCTGTGTCTGGTTTTGTGCCAGCACTATACTGTTTTGATTACTGCCACATTGTAATGTCATGAAATCTGAGATTGTGAAACCCCAGCTTTGTTCTTCTCTCTCTCCCCTTTTTTTTTTTTTTTGGAAAGGGGGTGGAGATCATGACCTGAGCCAAAATCAAGAGTCGGATGCTTAACTGACTGAGCCACCCAGGCGCCTCTGTTCTTCTTTTTAAGATTGCTTTGGCTATTTGGGGTCTTCTGTGGTTCCATGCAAATTTTAGGATTATTTGTTCTAATTCTATGAAATATGTTGTTGGTATTTTGATAGGAATTACATTGAATCTGTAGATTGCTTTGAGTAGTATGGATATTTTAACAATATTAGTTTTTCCAACCCATAAGCATGGAATATCTTTCCATTTGTTTCTGTCATCTTCAGTCCTTTTCATTAACATTGAATGTTGAAAATATATATTTTTGAAAGGATGAATGAAAAGTAGACATTAGAGATAGTTTTAGATGACTCTTTAGAGAAGACTCCCCCCTCCCCACCATGAAGAGGGAAAGAGAAATGGAGCAATAGCTACAGGAAAATATGGAATAAAGAACAAAAATCTTTTGTTTTATATTTGAGATGGGAGTTTTTATGGCATATTTGCATGCTGATAACAATGATGCCATAATGGAGAGGGCGAAATTAACGTTGCAAGACCAAGATAGGATCAGTGAAGAACTAAAACTAAACTGTATGAGAAGGTTAAAGGGAATAAACTCAAGAAAGGAAAAGGAGGGATTTACCACCGATAGGCAGAGAGACCACCTCTTCTGCTATCATACTAGGAAAGTTGAAGAAGGTGGATGCAGATAATATAGGTCAACCAGTAATGGGAAGATCAAGACATTCTATTATAATAGCTTTTGAACTGAAAGTAAAATATGAAGCAAGGCCATCAGCTTATAGTAAGGTGAAGAAAGAGTTGTGAGAGAGGGAAAGATACATATTTTTTTTAAGATTTTATTTATTTTTTCAACAGAGAGAGCAAGACAGCGAGAGAGGGAACACAAGCAGGGGGAGTGGGTGAGGGAGAAGCAGGGCTTCCCGCTGAGCAGGGAGCCGGATGCGGGGCTCGATCCCAGGACCCTGGGATCATGACCTGAGCCGAAGGCAGACGCTTAACGACTGAGCCACCTAGGCGCCCAGGAAAGATACATATTTTAAGATACATAGATTTCATTGGGGAAGCCATGTTGGCCTGATGCTTTTATTATGGAAAGTGTTTATAGTTTCTATTCCTTCTGTAGTTATAGGACTATTAATATTTCTTATTTCTTCTTGTTTCAGTTTAGTAAATTGTGTTTATCTGGCAATTGATCCATTTTATCTAAAATTTAAATTTATTGGCATATTACCCTCTCTTTTAAATGTCTGTATGTATCTGAGGTGATGTCTCTCTTTTCTTTTCTTTCTTTCTTTCTTTCTTTCTTTCTTTCTTTCTTTCTTTCTTTCTTTCTTTCTTTTCTTTCTTTCTTTCTTTCTTTCTTTCTTTCTTTCTTTCTTTCTTTCTTTCTTTCTTTCTTTCTTTCTTCTTTTTGATGTCTCCCTTTTCATTCCTAACATTGACTTTTTTTTTTTCTCTCTTTTAGCTTAT